ACTAAGAGATTATTATTTCCAGTATATGTTTTAGCATACTCTATGAATCTCTCCCATAATCTCGAAACAGGATCACCAACCTTAATTCTTTTTGTTAAATATTCCTATAACGATTTCGTAGTAGAATACAATACTATCTGTTTTGATTACAACTGCTTAAATTCAAAGCAAAAGGCGGTAAAATTATATATGAATACATTTTATAGTGAGGCAGGTAACCTCTTTTCATCTTTTTTCTCACGTGAACTTGCCGGAGATGTCACATCGGCAGGACAATATTACATCAAACTTGTTGCAGAGTATGTAACTAAGAAGAAAGGTTTTGGCATCAAATATGGGGATACTGATTCTTTATATCTTACCTGTCCTACTGAATGTTATAAAGAATGCAATACCGCTTATAACAATAGTAATAGTATGATCACAAAGTTAGAGTATTAGACCGAAATGGTTAAAATTACTATAGGTAAAATGAAAAAATTACGTGATGATGTGAATAAATATCTTAGGTTAAAAAGCAGATCGATTTATCTTAAAATGGCTTATGAAGAGGTATTATTCCCAGTATGTTTTACTGGCAAGAAGAAATATTTCGGAATCTCCATGAAGAGAAGGTAGATTTCAAACCAGATAAAGATAAACTTTTCATTAAAGGGATCGATACTGTAAAGCAAAGCAAATCCCAACTATTTAGAACTATAGAAGACCAAATTATGTAGGGGCGATGGATATTAATAATAATCGAACTCTCCATGAAATTGTTGAAGACGTCCTCAAAGAGGCTACAACAAATCCTGGGCAATGGGATTTCGATCAGTTTATAGAAACTGCTACATGGAAACCTAATAAAGATAACAAACGTGTTTAGCGATTTATAGGACAGATGAGAGAAAAATATGGAAGTAAGATTCCTGATCCCGGAGAACGCTTTAGTTATGTAATGATTGACCCTGAAGTCTTTGATTTATCTGGTAAGAAGCTTACACCAAGAAAGGCCGATCAAATAGAATTCGTAGATATTGCAAAAGAATTAAATAGGGAATTGGATCTATCCCACTACTTCGAAAATACTATTAATAGACTTTGTGCCAGATTTATCATGTATGATAAAAAATACGAACCGCCTTCTACTGACAAAATCATGAAAATTATTGATTCAGATGAGAAATATAAACAGATCAATACCTATGCTCAAAATAAGGCCAAGAAGTGGCTTGAGTCGTATATTAAGGAGATAAATGTGAAAAATAGAATCGATTCTAAAAAGATATCTAATCGTGGATATGCCTACAAACGTGCTTATAAGAAAGTGCAAGATATATTATATCAGAAAATGGGTAATACATACAAAATATATCATAGAGATTGGTTAAGCTTTGAAGACTTTAAGGTAGGTGATCCTGTTTCGAGATTATGGGAGAGATTCATAGAGTATGCTAAAACATATACTGGAAATAATAATCTCTTAGT